AAAAAAAGAAAAAAAAAAAAAAAAAAAAAAAAACTAAAAAAACTAAAAACTAAAAACAAACAAAAAAAACTAAAAACGAAAAACAAAAGCAAGAAAAAGGAACCACAAGATCAAAGGTTTTAAAAAGCACTGAGGCGCACGCCTTGAGGCGCGCCTCGTGGCGAGAGAAAAGCACCTCAACTCCTACGCCTTATAGGATAGGAGTTGAGGTGGGCACCTCAGCCACTTGAGGCGCACGCCTTCGAGAGGCACCCCAGGTGGTTATTGAGGCGTCCGCCTCATTAGAATGGGGATTCTGGGTGGTTTTTTAAACCCAAAAGATGCGGGCCCAACAGTTTTAAAAGGCCCAAAGTAGTCAAGCCTGAAATGAGTAAGAAAAAACTTTAAGAAAAGAAGCAACCAACCAGCACAGCCGATCTCTCCTTCCCCTTCTTCTTCGCACCTCACCTCTCCTTTACGTGCATTATTAAATTTGATAATTATTTAGCTTTTTTTAGCTTCTAGTAGTGAAATAGACTTTTCTTTATGTTGATGTTTGGTTAAATTTCTTATTTTTAATGATTATTAAGTATAGATTTAGTTTTTGTTACTATTTTTTTTTAAAAAATTTTATAGGCATTTTTTGAGACTTACGCCTCAAAGGCTTACGCCTCGCCTCGTAAAGGCAAAACGCCTCGAGGCCCAATTCCACATTTTAAAACCTTGACAAGATCTAAGCAAGAACTAAAACCATAATAAATCATGTGCGATTGTTCAACAATTCAAATCAAAATAAAACTTATAAAAGTTACTAGAACAAGAAATAGCTAATATTTCCTTACACCTTAGGAAAGGGAACAACCCAAACGGGAGGTCCATTAACCATCCTAAAAAACATAGTCGGGTCGATAGTATAGTGGACTTGAAAACTTCCACTTTCAACGTTGAACATTCCAAGATCAGAACCCTTACATGAATGAAACAAAACATAATCATGAGCAAAATAGATGCAATTTGGCTGGCATCCACTAAAATCAGAAGCTAAGACAGCTAAGCTGGTACTGTCGCCCACGAACAATGCAGCGCCACCGAGGTTATTAATTTCAATCCACGTTCCCTGGTAAGAATCCATTCTGTAAACTCTGAACATTCTTGTGGAACGATTTAGATCATCATCAAATGAATAATGCCTTTCAACTTGCCACAACTCTCGATATGATTCCACAAGATATCTCTTACTACATGAGCGATCGGGAAAATTATGCGTAGGACACTCTATGGTAGAAGTGTCTGCAGGATCGAAAGAGATGAGCCTACCCATGAAACCCACAGCATAAACTTATTCTTATAATACACAATGTCGTCGAACTGTTGACAATTAGTAATTTTCATCCATGTGGTGTCCTTATTATATTTAATAGAAGCAGTTTCAAAACAATGGTGCAGTTATGAGGATTTGCTAGTGGATCAGCTGTGATTAAAGCCTTAGCAACATGATAATCATAAGCTTCTTCACCCAAGTATTCGATAATTTCTGGTTCCAAATCTTCTACCACTAGAGGTGGAAACAAACATGGGAGGTCGATACTTATACCCACCTGACTATTTTCCTCATTAGTTATAAAATCAGGTTTATGAAGCGTTACAGTATGATTCTCATTCCCAATTACTAACCATCCTATTGAAGAACCACAAAAACGTCTCTTATATGACAAAGATAGCTTCACCTCCGAGAATTCCTTGTTCATGACATTGTATATGCTCCATTTGTCTTCTTCTTTATCGGGAAACAAAAGCAAGGGAACTTGATGTTGCCGCAATAATTTGTTTTGTTTAGTTGAAATATCATCTTTCATTATAGAATGCCAAGAACGACAAACAGCTCCAAATCGTAAATAATCCGTAAATGACACTACCGTTTGGTTCATGGATTAGAACTACGTGATTAGAATTATTTTCGATTTACGTGTATTTTTTGTGAGAGAAAATACCGTAGCGAATCATGAATCATGATTCGAATCAGGAAATGAATCCCTCCACCAAACATCACCTAACTTTCCTAAAATTAAGTCTTGAAGATGTTTTGGGAGGCCTGCCCAATCTAAACAAAACAACAAAAAATTCTTAAATATTAGAACACCGTATAAACTATCTATAAGCAATTTTTTTTTTTTTAATTACTAACGAAACATGTATACTGAGAAGACCACCACTCCTCGCAAAGGAAAAAAATTAAAGTTTCTAAATCCATACATACATACATATATATATATATATACACACTGCAAAAACCGTACATGCACTTGAGTCGAAATATAAGACGTAATTATTTTTCAAAGTAGAACGACGCAAATAATTTCAAGGAATTTCTTTCTTAATTTTTCAGTCAAGTCAATATATATCACACAGTACAGTTGCAAAAGAGAGCCATAAACCATGAATAGCATACCTTGATCCATGGATTGCATAGTAACCTGGTATCTCTTCTCTCTTTTCCCTTTCTCTTTTCCTCTTCAGCTATCTGTTTCTATAATCGCAATCTGATGGGCTGTAGGCTTCTTTTAATTAGGACTACGCCCTACTTCAGCTATATAACTCTCCCTCAAAGTTCGAGTCTAACTTGGATTCGAACAAAAGCGAGAGTATGAGGAAAAGGGGAAAGGGGCGACTGCAAAAGTAAAACAAAATCTTTAGGACTTAGATTTTGTTTTCAATACAAAAATAAAAATAGGATTATTTTGAGGATTATTCTAAAATTAATTCTAAAATTTTATTTAGTTATTTTTTTAAGAGATTATTTTGAGTATAAAAAAATAAATTTGTGTTTAGTTATAATTATTAATTAATATATTATAAAATTATTGATAAGTATTAAAAAATAAAAATAAAAAAGAAAAATAATTTTTAACTGTTTTTTAATTCTTTTATAAAAATTATTCTCATTGTTTTTTATTTCCTTTTTCATTTTCAAAACAATTAGGCCTTGTTGTCGTTTTTTAGTTAGGGTGACTTGAGTGTAGATTTTAAGTTGAGTTTGAGTTATAACTTGAGTTGAAATCATAAATTGAATTTGTGTTTGGTTGTGTACGTTTGAGTTATAGTTTGAGATTAAAATCTATTTGAGTTTGTATTTATTTCTATTAATACTTGAGTTGTGAATAGTATCCTTAATTTTTTAGTTTTTTAATTTAATTGATTTTATGCAATTGAATCTGAATAATTAGAATTAAATATATATAATTATGAAGAATGAGTTATTGGGTAATTAAAAGATGTATAAAAATAAAAGTGAATCATCTATAAGTAGTAATAAATTTAAACTTATTTAGTAGACATTTTTCTTCATTTAATAAATTAAAATACCATATAAAAAATTACTAGAAGATTAGTTTCCATTATAATGGAGAGTAAAAGGACAACAATATATACATAATTTATAACATACGTCTACATACATCGTGTAATATCACCTCATAGCACTTCAACATCAAAAGTTTAAATTATTAACGCCTACGACGATTACGATACACTGCCTACATTGTATGCGCTCTTGCATCCCTTAACGCATTCATCTCCAATTCTGCATTATAATTCAATGGTTGTCCTTCATGGTTGTTATTGTTGTTGATGTCCTTTTCAACATTCCGGGGATCAATGTCCACAATCGAAACGTCATCTTGTGAGTACTGATCCAATCGTCTGTCTCCATTACGGTACATGTAGATAAAATTATGGATTATAGCAGATGCAACCGGAATCTTAATTTGTTTTTCAATAGGGTGACGGTTAATGCTTTTCAAAATACGAAACATGGCATTCCACACACCAAATGTTCTTTCAATCACATTACGCAGAGAGGAACAAGGCCAACAATCACTTATTATTCATGTGAAAAATGTGTGATGGCCCTAACAAATCCGGTATGAAGCATTATCCTAGGCAATGACAAGTATGCTACCAAGGTTTAGCTAACTTAGGCATGTTGGTCGAGAAGGCATTCAGAGTGAAGTAAAGCAAACATACCAATCAAGAGTTCTCAACATAACAGAATAAGAATTATACAAGAGTAATTAGATAAACCGGCAACTAATAATTATCATACCTTCGAATATCACTCAACATAAGGAACTAGGCCATTAAATTGAAATAAATCATCATAGCCACGGTGAACATGTATAAGAAATAGCAGTCATAAATGAAGTATCACATAACAGTACTTTCACCTAAATCAAACACGGAAGGAGATCAATAGGAGAGCCAAATTATACAAGAATTCATGACTGAGAAATGTAATGGCTTTGACAGCAAATTTGTATTAAAAGTGAACAAAAAAAACTTTGAAATAGGAGTCCTACTTGGGTTAAGCTTACAGTTTTGTGTAGGATTACTGCCATAATGCTGACTTTTTTACTAGACAAGAAGTTCAGTATATATGGGATTTGTATATTACGTTTAAGAGCTAAAAGTTTATGGTTCTAAAGCTTAAATTCATTTGCTTTATTTTCTCTTCTTCTACAAATATCGAAGTACAATGTATCCTTTTCGTCTTTCTTCATTTATACTTACTGTGAAAGTAGCTTAAAATGAACACAAAAACAACCAAGCAAATCAACAAACCAAAACAAACTAGAGGTCCATTGTACTCTCTTGCATATGAAGTTCCAGTAGGCATATTGGCTAGTAATCGGAGGCTCGAAAAACTTCCCAAGTGACACCATGTTTTTATGAGTTCAGGAGACGACCCTTATAAGCTCATCAAGAATTCTATCAAGTATGGTTTTACTCTCTACACTTTTTTCCAGTAACTAATAACTTTCATCTCAATAATTCTTTTAGACAAAATACCGAGAATTTGTAGAGTATTTACTACATATTGACTATGGATGTTAAATCACACAATATCACAATACATATGAAATTAATCAAATGATTTGGTTCTATGCTTACCGAATTTGAGCCCACGGAGGAGGAAATTTGATCCCCGTAGAGATTCCCAAAACGTGAGGAAGGGTTAGAGTGTTTGAGGTACAGGCGACGACAATGGCAAGGGAAGGATGTTTGACGTTGCAAATGGAGAGCAGTACGCCGTGAGCTCTTGCTTCTACATCAGATAATGATGTTTGCCCACCGAGGTCGCCGAACTGATGGGTTTTCTACAAATTTCCCCATTTTGAAGGGGAAACAAAAAGGATGCAGATCAAGGTGCAATATTTGGGGGCTAGGGTTTCTAAATTGCAAGCTTGGGGGAAAATAGATCTGCAATGAATTTTGGACAGGGGAGGAAGGGTTATAACGTTGAAGTAGCAGACGGTGGTATGGTCAAAAGAGATCTGAAACCTGGAATTCTCGAGTAGAGGAGAAACACGTGAACGGTATGGTGTGGAAGGAAGACCTCAAAGAGAGAAAGTTTCGGCATGCATAAGTCTCAGTGACGAATCTCACTATGTGCTCAAGGGAGGGTCAGGAATCCACACTGTAGAAGTTCATAAGAGTTATTCGAGTAGGGGGGAGACCATTAACTCGAGAATGGGTGGGACACTCGAGTTCATTTTCGAGTTTGGTCTCGAGTAAGCATACGTCGAACATTAACTTGCGCCAAGTTTCTTCACTCGAGTGGGCTTTCTCGAGTAAATACATGCAACCGAATAAGGCCTTACTAAACAAACACAATTTGCAGACATTTTTCATTTTCATGCATCAAAAGACGTGCATACACGTTTTCAAAAACAAGCAAAAATCAATTCTAAACGCATCCTTAGGTTGCCCAACTTTTTATTTGGACTCAGAAAAAGGAGCATATTTACGTAAATGCCATCATTGAAAGTTTGTTTTAGGCATTTTTAGCTATTGAAATTCATGGATTAGGATAGATTTGTAGTCCAATTCAAAACTATCAAGAAAAAATCTTAATATATGTTCAATTCAAAACTTTTTCTAATCTAATCTAAAACCTATTAGATTTTGCAGATTAAAAGATTAAAACTTTAAATAAAACACAAAATAAAGTCTTCATCACTTATCAATATTATTTTTAAAATTCAAAATTTACACCTATACTCTAAATAAACATAGCATAATATAAAACAGTTCAATGTTCTCAATCCAATATTAAATATATATACAGATTTTTTATTCAAAAAATATAAAATCAATTTGTTACCCCGTGTTATTCAATAATATTAACCTTAAAGTTTTACAAAACATCTTATAAGTATTTCAAAGTTATTTTTTGAGTTAGGGTGACTTGAGTTCATATTTTGATTTGAGTTAAGATATATTTGAGTTGGTAATCTAATTTGACTTGTGTTTAGATATGCACATTTAAGTTATGGTTTAAATTGAGAATCTATTTGAGTTTGCGTTTGGGTGAGTCAAAACTTGAGTTTATATTTGAATAGTATTTTAATAAAAACTCAATGCTGATGAAAATTTTTAATATGGTATATGAATTGAGTTTTATTCGTCTCTAACTCAAATTTTAATCTCAAACTCAAACTCAAATTTTGTAAAAAAAAAAAAACAAAACTTGAAGTTGTAACTTAATTCAATTTTTTTTTTTTTTTTTTAGTTTAAGCACAAAAAACACAATGTCCCGACTACCCTTTTTATTAATCAATCAAAATTCAAAACTAATAATTTTAAAATTATTTTCTAAAATACATTGATTAATTTCAACCGTTGATCAAAGTCTATTCAATATTAGTCAATATCAGCCATTGATCGTGTTCTTTCTAGACTTCAAGAAAGCCGCCGCCTCCTTCACCATTTGAGCCCCATGAGCTCGCCGCCGTTTCTCAGAGGTCGCCGCCCCCTTCTCCACCTTAGGTACACCTAATGCCTCTTCACAGATAAACTAAGGAAACGATTTTCTTGTAAATTTTTTGTGCAAAGAAGAGTAGGGTGTATGCATGTGGATGATTATTACTTATGTTCACCATGGAATGGAAAGGTTTTCGCTGCAAAAAGACAAAAATCTCGTTCACCAGTTTCAATTCCTCTTGCACTCTCTTTGGTGTGCTTCTCTGGCTTTTGACTATTTTCTTTCTGTGTAGTGTGGTATGAGTATTGAGTACATGACCATTTCATTTTGGGATGGGGATTCAGGCGGGGCGGCTACGACGTTGGGCTAGGGATCTGGGCCGGCCGTGACAGAGCCGAGCCCGAGGTGGTCAAAGGCCTGGGGCGAAGCCGGGTGCGCAGGGAGAGTCAAGATAGATCCTTGATTTCAAATATTTTGGGCTGATTTCATTTTAATCCGATTTCGTTGTTTTTTATGGATAAAATTGTAAAATTTATTCTTAATAATGAATTTTTATTTTTATTTTTAATAAATATTGTTTATTAGTGTTATTATTTAATTAAAAAAATTATAAATAAAGAATAAAGAATAAAAATATTGATTCATGTTATATTATAAATAAAGAATAAAAATATTGATTATATTTTTAAAAGATATTTATTAAAATTATCTCAGAAAGGTTGATTTGATATCAATTGTGGTATTAAGAACATATCTGATTTGTTTGTGTTTATTTTTGTTTTTAGGGGCTTTTTTAAAAATAAAATAAACGTTTTAACATATTTTTAGAAATTTTTAAAATTGATATTTTTAATTAATTAAATAAAAAAGTAGAAATAATATGTTACGCTCTAAAAACAGATTTTAATGTACTCATA